AAGCAGGTTGTGACTCATTCGTCAGGCTGCGAGCAGCCGCGTCGGACAGCCCGGGTGAGCAGACCACCACCCAGGCGACCTGGTCGGAGACCGGGACGCAGGGACATTGATCCTCGGAATCTTCAAGATTACGATAGGCAGTGGAGAGGCTCAACCCCCGCAAGCACCACTAGGTGAGCACCACGTTTATGCCACAAAAATAAACTTAAAACCAAAAGCAAACAAAATGGACTCAGGGAGTGGAGGCCAATGGTGTTTAAAGTAAACAATTAGGATGTGCGGTGAGGTAGTTCCAAAATGTAACCTAAGGTCTTCTTTGGGACTTTCTTTGGGACTTTGGGACTTTCTTTGGGACTTTGGGACTTCTTTGGGACAGCGGCAGTACGGGTAATGGGCGAGGCAAGAACGACCCAGCAGGAGAAACAGGTTGTGACCATGGCATAGGGAACAGGTGGTATCACTCACTCACTGGCAGGCAGGGCAGGTGTATATTGTTTGTGTGTGTGTGGGGGGGGGGGAGGTGGGGTGGGGGTGACTGTGGTGCGCGCCCGCGCATAGACAGCCTTGAAAAAAGCCATACCAGGAAAGTATAGTTACACACGCACACACACCCGCAGCCACACCTGCTTGGTTACCGCGTAAACATGACACTCCATACATGTCGAAACCAAATAAGCTCCACTAAGCAGACTTTCCTCTCTCCTCCCCCCTCTAACACACACACACACACACACACACACACACACACACACGCACGCAGCAGATGAAGGAGGGCATGCGTATATGCAATAGGATACCTGGCCGCCCACCAGTGTTGGTTTACTTCCTCCCTCAAGTGATTTTGGTGCCGTCGGAAGTGACTAGTTTACTGTGCACCCCATACTCATCCTGTGAGCGGTAGCGCAAAAAGGATTACCGCGGGCACAAAAGGTTTTTCATCAGACTTCAACGGGGATCATTACAGTCATAATTACATCTATCCTGCACATCTCAAAATTATAATGTCAGCTAGTTAAAGAGATTATTCCATCTCATTTGCTACCTATTTACAATGAAACATTATACATTAATGGTAGATCTTTTCGCTAATATTTAGCTGTTCTAGCTATGGAAGTATTACAGAGGGGTCATAGAAGACTCGCCACAGCCCGGGAGTGGGGACAACCCGTCCTCTTAACTGGTTGATACTTGCTTGATGGGGTTCTGGGAGTTCTTCTACTCCCCAAGCCCGGCCCGAGGCCAGGCTTGATTTGTGAGAGTTTGGTCCACCAGGCTGTTGCTTGGAGCGGCCCGCAGGCCCACATATACCTGCTTGATGGGGTTCTGGGAGTTCTTCTACTGCCCAAGCCCTGACTGCACTGATGCAGTCAGAATCATGGCGGGTCGCAAAATTGACGTGATGTCCCGTTTTCTGCTAGTGGGTCCTCGATTAGGCTCGGGGTAACTTAGTACATCAGTTTAGTGACGCTGTGAAAGTTGGAGAGGACGGGCGGACGCATGTATTACCTCCACCCACACAACTATACTACCGGAAGCCTGCCCGGTTATCAGTATGACAGCTGCGTCAGGAAATAAGGCAAGGACGTGACTATATGTTTTGTGGAATATGGGAATGTGTTATACAACAGAAGAATGTGAAGACAATGAAAAAGAAATAAAGACCAAATGACTAGATTATGGGTAAGGAGAGGAAAGACTAAAGAAAATTAGACTGACAAAGAGGAGTGTGATAGGACGATCATAAGACCTCACCAGCAGTTACTGATGCTAAAGGTCGACCTCAACACCAGTTAAAGAACGGAGCAACTGGCATAGCAACAAACACAGCAACATGAGATAAGAAACGAGGAAAGAGGCAAGAGTGCAGATGATGAACTGCAATAAAGTAGAGGAAGTGACAACATAGTAAAGGCACTACAGAAAGTCCAATGGAACATGATTGATTGATAAAGATTAAGCCACCCAAGAGGTGGCACGGGCATGAATAGCCCGTAAGTGGTGGCCCTTTTGAGCCATTACCAGTATCAATAGATGATACTGGAGATCTGTGGAGAATGGAACATGTGAGGCAGGAGTGTAGAGAGGAAAGTAATAAAGATGGAGGTACACGCATGTAAACACACACACACGGAGAAATCTTGTCAATAGCAGTCACAATTAGAGTTTGGGGAAGTCATCAGCCTTAGGCAGTCATATTAAGAGGGCCACGAGGCCCAGGCAAGTGGTTACAATGCGTCGAGATGGAAAGGCAAAAACCTGTCATTCTCGAAATGTGTCATTCTCCATAGCAGAGCCCACAAGTGGCATGGGGGGGGGGGGTAAGAATGACAAGACAGGAAATCCGTTTACGTAAGTGATAAGTAGAGGAGGTTGGGATGCAGTTTTTGTGTACAGGAGCGGCCAGGATACCCCCGACACCACCAATATTTATCTCAGGAGGAGGAAGCCGTGAGATCCGTGTGGTCCCCGTGGCACAGTGGAAAAAGCACTCGCCGGACACTTCGCGAGCGCTCTGGCCTGGGTTCGTATCCTGGCCGGGGTAGACTGACTGGGCGAAAGTCCTTGACTGTAGCCACTGTTCACTCAAGTGAATGGGTACCTGGTTGTTAAACGATTTGGAGAGTCGTATTCCGGGAAAAAAATTAGGATTAAGGACCTGCCCCAAACGCTATGCGTGCTATTGTCTTTACAAGAATGTTAGAACTCTTGTATATAAATAAATAAAAATTACCACAAATTCAGAGTATGTCAAGAGGAACCGTGAGAAAGTAAGTAAGTAAGTAATTATCAAAAGAAGGCACCAAACCGGGAAGGCTATGTAGCACCATCAAATGCGCAAAATAATCAGAGGGCGCTAAATATCACCAAGGATGCCAATACGAGAACAAAAACGCATAAGGCGAACGATATCAAAAGTATCCGAGTCACCAAGAATTCTATCGAGGGACAGGTGACCGCGAGGGGCGAACCGTGACAAAGAAGGTGGCAAGATATTAAGAGCAAAAGGGCTGTTAAGAGGACCACATACCAGCAGTTATAATCCAAGGGCAACAACCAGCCAGCCTTCAAACTAATGATGACCCCCTTCCCCTCCCCCTCCCCCCCCCTGCCCTAGCCAAGGGGAAGCCTGGCGGACTCCTACAATTAGTAGTCCTACTAATTGTAGGATCCTGCCCCCCCCCACCCTCACAACACCAGGGAGGTTCCCCTTCATGGGCACCCACCCACCAAATAGAAATATTACGGGCTATTCATGCACGTGCACGGGAGACATCTCCCGTCACGCAGGGTGCAGTCGCGCCTCCACAGATATCCAGTATCAGCTCTTGATACTGGTAATGGCTCCAAAGGGCCACCACTTACGGGCTATTCATGCCCGTGCCACCTCTTGGGTGGCATAATGTTCATCAATCATCAATCATGCACGTGCCACCTCTTGGGTGGCATAATCTTCATCAATCAAATAAAAATAGCTTCTACAGGTAATAGCAGTTCATGCCAATAAACTCTCAAATGCGTGAGCATGCACGCAGGCACACACACACAAGCAGGATACATGAACGAAAAGTGTTGATAAACCCCGAGTGTTCTTCAGTCACAAGCTCGCCTGTCATTCACCCTTCCTCCTCCAGTGTTAAACAACACGTGGGGCTCCTACACTTACACTTCGCACATACAACATGCATTAAACAACCTACCAGCGCCTTCTCTCTCCGTTACCACGTATGAACACAAGAAAATGGGTGCGGTACGGTGGTAAGTAGAGCACTGTGGCGAGATATTTGTAGCAGTGGAGGTGGAGAGGGATATGAGGGTAGGGATAGAGGTGGGGGATGGGAGAAGGATAGGGTAGGGGGGGTTGCTACTAGTGTTGGGCGGCAGTAACGACAAGACTAGTAAGAGTGGCTTGAGTGTTCTCCTGCGTCACATTTTCCCCTCACGGGTTTTCTGCAAGTACGACCGTGCCCGCCTGATGGCACTATGGTATCTTTATCCCTGGTCACAGTCTGACAAGGGAGCCGCAGGCACTCCTGGCTCCCTATGGCTCTTACAATTCTCAATCTCTCACTCTCTCTCTCTCTCTCTCTCACACATATACAGTGGATAAGGGCGTATCTAAGCAACAGGAAATAGCGAGTAACTGTGAGTGGGGAGAAATCAGATTGGTGGAATGTCACCAGTGGAGTCCAACAGGGCTCTGTACTTGGACCCATCCTGTTTCTGATATATTTAATGATTTTCTAGGAGGGTATAGACTCGTTCCTCTCAATGTTTGATGATGCAAAAATTATGAGAAGAATCAAGACAGATGAAGATAGACAAGAGACTACAGGATGATCTGGACAAACAGGAGGAATGGTTTAGAAAATGGCTACTAAAGTTCAACTCAGGAAAGTGTAAAGTTATGAAATTAGGCGAAGGGATCAGAAGGCTGAACACAAGGTACCATCTGGGAGGTGAATAGTTACTACAAGTACTAGCATTTCCGGCGGATGGGTTAGAATCTTGTATATATCGATCATGTAACTTCTTGCCATCTTCTTTACTTCAAATACCAACAATATCAGGGGCGAGGATATTTCATTCCCTCGGGTCATCGGAGATGTAAACTCGGACCTGTAAGATTCGAGACCTTTTGCTCTAGCAGCCTAGCCAGGAAGCTCATAATAAGGAAATTATCAGAAAACTACTAACTGCTTTAAAATGAGTGGTTTAAACCTACTGGACCACCGGAGCGGTATTTGGGGAGATGCTGATCCTATTAAACTTATTTAAGAGAAAGAGGACAAGAAAAAACCAGCCAACTTGCATCACGATGTGTCATAGGAATAGAGTAAGGTGATAAGAGCTTCAAGAATAATTATGATGAAATAAGGAGTGAGTGGATGAGGTGACTGGTGAGCCTGCACCTGTCCTGCATACAGAGCGAGACATGCACTCCAGAACACACACACACACACGGCCCCACCCACACCCCAGGATCACCTGGTCTTACTCACCCATAAATGATGCCGATGAGGTGTACGACCCAGAAGCCTGTCCAGAAGACCAGGATGGCAAATGCAAGCATCACCTTGTACATTTGTATTTCCGTCATGGCGGGGCTCTTGTTCCTGCTGCCTTCCTGGGGCGGTACACTGTCTTTCACTACGGGCGGGGGCACACCACCGGCGGTAAAGGGGGCGGGGAAGGCGGAGAAACGGTACACGGCTTGGTGAATTGGGGGGGAGGAAGGGGTAGTAGAATGAGGAATAATGTTATGGTGGGTGGCAGATGATATGAGGAGGAGGAAGCCCACGTTCCACGCCCACGCCCAGCTGTGGTGTCTGCCGGCGCTGCTGATGCTGCCCCTCAACAACACCCAGAACCAGTCCTTGTGCGACAACCAGCCTCCCACTCCAAGCCCTGGACTCAACATCGAACTGGTCACGGGCCCTGGACGAGGCGGCCGCCGCGGCTCCTGTCTCCGCCTCGCGCTCACAATAACACTGCCTTTCCCGTCCCACTCGTCTTTATCAACACCACACAAGTTTACTTCTAACAGCGGTTTTAATCAACTCTGGCGGGTTTTCTATGCCTTTTAATTATAATTTTATGAGTTTGTTAAGTTTCTTAAAACGCAATTTGTACTTTTCACAATTTTGTCACTAGGCTAACCTCCATTGTCACGTGCTACGTCAAGTAAATCATAATATTCTTTCAAAATAATTGAAGGCAAAATTAACGTCGGAGTAGAAGTTAATGTTTATAATAACAATTAGAAAGTATTGTTTTGTTATATTTACATTTGGAAAGGCAAGAAGACGTAGTGTCATGGCCTGCCAACCACACCCGCACCATCATTCTTGCTCTTCACTTCTAACACTACTATTCTCACGCCTTCTGCTATAACAATGGTTCGTATAACAACACTGATCTGCGGAAGTGTGGGTTGAGAAGCCTGGTTCACAGGCGTACAGGGAATTGGTCGTCTTCAGTAGCTTCTGGGGCCCCTTTTCTTCAACACAAGGAACAAAGGTTTCAAACATTCGGATAACCAGAAAACATCAGATTCCCCAGTGAATGCTACATGTCTTCGGGGAGGAGGGGGGGGGGTGATCTTATGAGACTTGCATTTTACTGAAACAGTCTGCCAGTCACCTCACGTCTATGTTGACTTTGTGAAGGTGTATCTTGAGGTCGATGGTATGAGCTGCGCCAGTCACTTTTGGCATTAGAGTTGAACACAGAGACGAGTCAAAACGTCAGTCGCTAATAAAAACAGAACACCAAATGAGAGGTTGCTTGTAAAACTATAGATATGAATACAGTGGCCGCTTGGAGAATCATAGAGCCAGAAGAGACATGGTGTTTGGAGCACTACACTTGCAAGTGAAGAATCCCCTCGTTGCTATTGCCTCCAACAGCGAGTCACCGCACTGACTTGCTTCTTGGTGTCATTGGTGCGAGGTGTGGGGGTGTGTGGCGGTGGTCCAGCGAGCGGTCTGTGGGCGGTGATGTGGACATGGTGTTATATTACTGAAGTGTTCTTCCCATGTTTCTCCGGTGCTTCCCTTTCTCAGATGATCTGAAAAATGATAAATAAAACAGATTACTCAATACGTTTAAAATTTAACATATAATACTGTAAATAATTATCAAAGACATTTACTAATCAAACACTGAGGCCAGGCCCTTAAGCTGATCTTCAACTACTACAATTAACGATTAAAATGACTGGGTGAAGGGCAGTGTTAGAGGAAGAGGGGGAGTTAACTATGGTTGTTGGGGGGTTGATACGTCTCTGATGATTTAAAATAGTTATGCCTAGTCTTTCTAGTTGAAGGCGAAACTTAATTATCCCGTTAAAAAGAAATATCTTAGAAGAGAGAACAAGAAGTGATGGCTAGACCTTTTCAGGCAGAAGGAAGAGAGTGGAGATGCCTCAAGACTTCAGCAACTACTCTTGTTCCTTTATATTGCTTGATGTCTTATTGCGGTAGACACTTTGATAGGATGTCTTGTAATTTGAAATAAACTCTCACCTGTCCTCCCAGTCAGCTACCCCCCACATGTCTTCCCAGTCAGACTCCCTCTATACAAGACCCTCTCACTCATGTCCTGCCAGACTCCCTCTATACAAGACCCTCCCTCTCATGTCCTGCCAGACTCCCTCTATACAAGACCCTCCCATTCATGTCCTGCCAGACTCCCTCTATACAAGACCCCTCCCCCATCTGCCCTACTAGTCAGACTCCCTCCCAGCCACGGCCCAGCACCCACTCCTCAATAATTCACACTAGTCGATAAACGTTCCTGATGATTAAACCAACTAGAGCAATTTTCTGGTTTGGTATTAGAGAGAGACTACAGAAGGCGAACAGGGTGGGAGGAGTGTGTGAAGTATTTTGTGGAGGAGAAACTGTCAGAGTCAAGTAGTGTGTGAGAGAGGAATTCAAGAGTGTGTCAGTATGGTGGAGTGTCAGTATCTTGGAGTATGTGGGTGAGAAGGTTGTCAGTATATGGTAGAGTGTGGGTGAGAGGAGTGTGAGAGTGGGGTTTCAATATAGAGTAAATGGTGGATAATGTGTTGGTGTTATTTCTTAGCCACATGAGAAGATATCACAGAACAGGACAAGACAGAACACGAAACAATGGGTATAAATTGGATAAGTTTAGATTTAGGAAAGACTTGGGTAAATACTGGTTCAGTAACAGGGTTATTGATTTGTGGAACCAATTGCCGCGTAACGTGGTGGAGATGGGGTCCCTCGATTATTTCAAGCGCGGGTTGGACATGTATATGAGTGGGATTGGGTGGTTATAGACAGGAGCTGCCTCGTATGGGCCAATAGGCCTTCTGCAGTTACCTTTGTTCTTATGTTCTTATCAAGGTACAGTACATGGACCAGCAAGAGCTCGCAATAGTACACTCGCACTACCGAACTAGTGCATGCCTTGTGACCTGAAAATAATGTAAATATATGCACATTTGGAGCCGTTGCAGGAGTTGTACTTGAGGAGCCAGCGGATATACACTGAATGCCAGACACAAGAGAGCACACAAGGGGGGAATATGTATACCCTTACTCCGCTGCATGTTATTGTGTAATGGCAGCCATGACAAGTTGTCATTTCCCAGTGCCCTCACGTCTGGCTGCTCGTCGTACAGCCACTCTTAGTCAGGAGAAAGTTACCTCACTCCTCAACCTCTGCCGTCTTCCAAATATACTATCAACTATGCACTATTTATATTTACGGGCTATTCATGCCCGTGCCACCTCTTGGGTGGCTTAATCTTAATCAATCTGCACTATTTATCTACATCACTCGCCATGCAATAACTCTGGCTGGAACCATCAAATAAGTAAGAAAAGATAAACATGAACGCGTCGAATAACTTCAACGACCCTTGCGCCTCGATAGCTTCCTGACCTATCCTACAGGCTCGCGTAGATGGCTTCCTAAACTCCCTCTAGACACAACTTCCGCATAGACAGTCGGCCGCCTGCAGGTCGGGTGTGTTGCTGAAGCAAAATGAAAGGCTGATGGTCGCCTGGCCACGGCGGTAGCCGTTATTGAACTTCATCGATCAGCTGATAAATCAAAACACGCCTGACGTGGGCCCTTTATTTACCGAGCGGGCAAGAGGCTCACCTCTCTCCAGCACTCAACTCTCACAGTTTATATATATCATAAAAATATATATATATTCCTCCACTACGTGCAACTAATGGGATAATATAGTCTTAAAATTCACATACTTTAATTAATGAAACTAAACTACGAGACATTTTTTATTATTCCACGTGACACATGTGTGTCCCCTCCAAGACTAATTCAAGAGGTCGAAGTGGCTCCTCGTGTCAATCTTTAGAAAGTCTGCCTGGCGGAGTGTCTGTGGGTTGATCAGTAGCGTGTGCTAACACCGCTGGTGTATAATGGAGTGGGGTGGTAGTGAACCACTGCTTATCATTTGTCTCGATGTACCTGATAGAGGGCGCTTCTGCCACATAACTTATACTCCTCATGCAAAAGTCAAAGTATCAAAGCCTAGGATCAGTGTAAATAACTGAATACTGAGTAGCTACGAGCCATTCACCAGGGAATTCAAAGAAAACGATCTGTTAAAATAAATTAAAAAAAAGTATCGTAATCGAGCAAATGGGTTTTAAAAACACAAGTGACATTTCCTCTAACTAAGCAAATTAACTCATATGCAAATGTAAGTTTAAATTATAACTTATCAGCACCCTCTCTTTAAAATACTAGTAACTATATATTTTAACCTTCAAGGTCACAAAGAAATGGTCAACTAACACGTAATTTAGATAAACAGATTAATTATTTTGAGTTTAATTCTCATTATATGGCAATAGGCCTTACTTATTACAAACGAGTCTGCATAGGCTAATGTTTTCACGCAAACGCGTTTCTGCCCGAAACGCTTTGCGTAATAGTGGCTTTAGGCATTGTATGTACTAAGCTCTATCTATAAATTCACCAATGTTTGTATCACACCTTGCATGTATGTACTTTACCTGAATAAACATTTGAATTTGAATTTAAGACTACTGTATGCATTTACAAAATATATAACAAAACACACAGAGATCACAATAACGTCATGCATCACATGAACAAATTAACTGAACAAATGAACAAATAACTGTCGTAGCTCAGTCGATTAAGGCAGTGTCTGGGATGCTCCCGGACGCAGGTTCGAATCCTCGTCACGGCCCTTGTGGATTTGTTTTATATAACAAAATCATATATGTACATAGAGCTAATAAATATGTTTAAGCCTACTTCTCATATGACGCCGGAGAGAATATCCATAAACAGTGATGCTAGTTACACACAGTAACCAAATATTATCATTAACCTCGTTTATACCTCGCCCTAAAGAAAACACTAAATACCCTGATAGATAACAAACAACTTGATGAAAACAAGTGTGGTCAAAGGACAGCTGGGTAGACAGCGCTTCGGATTCGTAGTCCTGAGGTTCCGGGTTCGATCCCCGGTAGAAGCGGAGACAAATGGGCAAAATGTTTTTTTCATCCTAATGCCCCTGTTACCTAGCAGTAAATAGGTACCTGAGAGTTAGACAGCTGCTACGGGCTGCTTTCCTAGGGTAAGGGGGTAACAAAAAGGAGGCCTGGTCGAGGACCGGGCCGCGAGGACGTTAAGTCCCGAAATCATCTGTATGATTTCTGTAAGATAAACTCAAGATAACGTTGCAATTGGCGCCCAAACCATTGCTTTATTGATCATAATCCCCTCCCACCCTCCACTCCCCTCAGTGGGGGGCATCTTCATTAATTCACACGAAATTTGTGTCACGGGGTTGAGGACCGGACCTCGTGGCTGGTGGGCGGCCGCCAGACTTGTCTCATCCACACATGAGGTCGCTGCTATGTTGTTGTGTAGTACAGACAAGGGCTTTACCGCCCACCATAATGGAGTGATTGGTGGTTTGGGTTTACAACGGTCTTGGCTACGTGTTGATTTTGCACCATTTTAAAAGCTATATTATATTTAACCGGGGACTGCTAATATTGTAGAGATTACATCCTCTGACATTTTATTAATTCCAAGCCAACCTGGGATAAAGAATTTATCAGGAGCCCACACAACGAAATCATTGTCGAAGCAAACAAAAATATTAATTAATTTATATAAACCTTTAGGTCAGATTCACAAATTTCGGCCAGGCGTCTGGAAGAGTCGAACCAAAAGGAACAGGGTTCAGTTGTCCACCAGAACAGCACTGTCTGTTCCTAGAACTGGACGCTTAGTCTGTCTCGAAAACTTTGACCAAAAGAGCGGGTTCTCAAGCCACACTCGCCTGTCCTTGAGGGGGTCGTCTGAACACGCAATCCCCCTTCTCTACCACACTACCACTACTACTACCACACTACCACCGTAAGGTAGTGTGTCCAAGGAAAGGGAGACTCCTGGGTAAGGAGGACATGCCGGGTTGAGAGATGCAGATGAATGAGTCCTCAAGTTAATAGATCAAAAACATATTAATAGCATTTAGTTACATTGGGTGTAAAAAAATGAACAACGACAATAAGAACGGTAGTAAAATTAGAATCAGAATCACGAAATGATAACCTTATCATTTACAGTGCTCAAGGAATCTCATTGTAATGTTCTTCTAGTCCAAAGTTTAAAAAAATGCTGCTCACCTTAATTTAAAATACCAGCAGTACCTTTGTAGACTAGCAACAATTTACCTTTAAACAAAATTCTCCATCATATCTCAGCAACGGTCTTTCAACGGTAAACTCCACCCATTTGCATATCTAATAATAAATCTAAAATATTCTCGATCTACAGTAGATGACAGCACAATACTGAAATGTTTCAATATCTGCAATAAGTTAACCCCAACAGCTTTACTACAAGTTATCGTCATACAGGTCAAACTATCTTCCATCCCAAAATGGATGAGTGTCAACAAAAAACATAGAATGGCTTTGTCTAGAATCTAGATGCAGACCCTAGCACAGCCTCAAGATTCATTCATCATGGGAAGCCTGGCCTCTTGCAGCCCCCCCCCAAACACGGCTTGGCTTCTTGCAAACCACATCACTACCTGGTCTCTTGTAGACCCTGAACGCGGCCTGGTCTCATACAGACCCCATCACAGCCTGGCCTAGTACAGACCTCAGGTTGACGGTATACTGTTGAATGTCTTCTGAACCTACACAAGCTTGTCTCGCGGAACCTAATATTTCCCAAACTTGTCTAGTTTGAACAACCAACAATGTGATCAAAGACAAGCGTCTTACACTATGAACATAAACTCTACCGAGGACCGTAACCTGGCAGGAAATGAGCACGCCGCAAGCTAAACAGACATGTCAAGAGCCAGCCAAACCGCCACCAACCGGCCAAGCGCCACTGCCACGAATCTAGCACAAACCATGGGTCCATGAACCCTGCTACCAGCCTGGCAAACAGGAGGATCCATGCTCCCTGCTCCAGGGTAGCTTTCTACATGTTGTTACTGACATGAACTAGACTTTACCCAGCATTCAGGAAATTATTCCTTCTGCGGCTTTCACCGTCTCCCGGTAGATCTAAATGCTGTACACGTCGTCTAGGCTAGTTCGGTAATTAAGAATGACCAGCACACACACACACACACACGCCTCAGTAGTATCATGACTACATGTGACCCATCATATTATACGTATACATTACTCTAGCTCCCTCTTTATTTTAAATCTTCCATTCATACAGGACTAACAGCACTACAATTAGCTCAATGTACACTTCAAAACAGAAGAGGTGTTATATTTTCTACGCTTCACATATTAATATATAAACATATGTAACATATTAATATACACATATCCATAAACCGTTCACGAGACAGTAATTGCTTGGCTGAGGATGGCAGAAGCTTACTCAAGGCAGGGTGGGCGCTACAAGCACCACTCTCCCAGTCCTGAGCACTGTGCCTGTATGTAAACTCTGAAAGCATGAACGGGCTCATACTCTCCAACACTACATCATTAAATGTCCAGACATTAGACCTTTTAGACCTGCCGGTATGAGATACCTACAACTTTACAATTACTTTGTCCCTTCTGGTTTTCTTAAGGATATCTTCATTATCCATCTAATGTTTGCTATGTTGTCCCTGGAAGACTGCCTATCCTGAGAGATGGGCATTTTAGCATCAAACAGCCGCAAAAATGCAGATGTATAAAAAAGGTTGACTTAACTGTACAGTAGCCTATGTCTCTTCATAGGCCAGGAATCAGGGAAATGTTAATATCTGCCAGTCGTAAAGGGAAGCTGGAAACACTTGAGCAAAGCTAATCTGACACCCAGCTGACTGTTTCTCATACTGAATCATGTGCTAAAGTTCGCCTCAGACTCGACAACACCTTATACCATAAGCCCACTAAAGCATAACCTTAGCACGTCCATATCTACCAACAACAATACCAGAATACAACAGTCACTATCAACCGTATTGTTGCGACCAAGAAGCGTACAAACTGTACTGTTTACGTGCCACGGTGTGTATGAACCTAAGTAGACGATGAGTCACAATAACCTGGCTGAAGTATGTTGACCAAACCACACACTAAAAGGTGAAGGGACGACGACTCAAGTCATCAATTGACTTGAGAATGGTCCAGGACGGACCGAAACGTCGTCGTCCTTTCACCTTCTAGTGTGTGGTCTCGTCAACAAAATATGAACCTAACACAACGTTCGTAACCAGTAAAATAAATAATAAAAAAAAAACGATGCCCTCCGGTTGAGTTTTGTCAGTAATACTTGCAATTGTTATGCAACAGCTTTCTCTAAATATATAAATTTCTTTATGTTTGTATCTCTTGCGTATATATCTAGACGTATTGATGTATAATGATAACGGGTTCATATTACTATTAGCGCTCGCATTCTTCCTACACGTCTGGTCTCATCCCATACTCGTCCCGCATTTTGGAAGTAGCTAGTCCTGCACATTTCTGCTGGACGTGCTAAAGTCCTTGTAAGCAAAATATAATCTTCAATCAAACCCACTCTGAAGATGGTATTTCTCTACAGCCGCCTTATCAGTGTGCTTTACATTTGATGTTATCCCACAAGTCGCATATAGGGACTTATGGGATAACGTATTTACGTATCCCGTATTTACATATATCCTCTCCCGTATTTACGTGACCACCACTACAACACCTGTAATGTTTTTCACTCGTATTTATCAATACATGTGTAATTTATTTGTGGGAGAGCAACAGAGCCTCCTGTGTAGCATTACAGGCCAGGCAAACAATTACCTAAGGCAGTGTGAATAGGCGTTACAGACACCACAAACATATCAGATTAGATAAGAACAAGCACTCAAACTTCACGACACAATCCACATTAAGATAACATCATCGACTCGTTCACTACATTCTCTAACATGAAAATCACACAATTATATCTCATGTACCGAGTACTCTTATCCTATATCTTCTTTTTCCATAAATCATCATTTAGAGTTTCTCACATCAAAAACACACGACAATTCACTATTGTGGCTCAAGAGCCCAGAGGCCACACACGGTTCGTGAAGGACAGCTTATATTGAATTTGTAGAAGACGAGTTTCTACAGCATTTGTGGGATACAAGGATACAAGTTCTTAGTATGCTTAGTAATTCCTAGCGTTCGTGGCACCATAACATAAGATTACAGTGTACTGGCCCATACAAGGCTACACACTACACTTTGATCTTAGCCAAAAGGCCGAGAAGCGATCATACGAGGCTGATTGACGATTGATAAGGATTAAGCCACCCAAGAGATGGCACGGGCATGAATAGCCCGTAATCATACGAGGCATGGGGCATAATCATTATATATCCATCGCTATTAAGCTGACTGTTCCACTCTTGCTAACCCACTGGTCACCTACAACGGTGTATGTTTTCTCTAAACATAAATCTGTCCAATTGTTATTACTTATATTCTACAAATTTACTTCTTGGATAAATCAGATTAATAATGTTCAGGAACAAAATGGGCGTGTCAATCACTCTGGCGTAAAGTACACATCTAATAATAGAAGGACGAGGAGAATGTTAGTAGCTCAATGGTAAACATTGAGCTACTAACATACGATAGATGGTAAACATCTATGGTATGTTTACCAGTAGGCCGTTTACGAATAGGCTAATAAGTGCACGGGAAACTGTAGGATACCGGAAAACTAAAATTTGACACCAATCTGATACACAAGGCATGGGAGACAGCTTATTATATATACATAGAATCCCAAATTTAAATACCGCCTGTATGTAGAATAGCTTACATAAAATAATTATCAATACATTAGCAACAGCACTGCAATTGTTATAAATAAAACAAGGTAGCGTGCGTGAAAAAATTATTTTACCTCTAGGAAACCACTTCTTGAATTAATTCCATTGATTCCACTATGCCTGCAATACTTAAGCTTCAAAGCGCTACCCGGAGTAGTTCCCTTGTAATACACTTAACTGCCGTTTGCACGTAATGCTTCCAACTGCACCCAATTGTTACGTAACCGTATAAACCTAAGGGCCTGACAGCTGAGTGGACAGCGCTTCGGATTCGTAGTCCTGAAGTTCCGGGTTCGATCCCCAGTGGAGGCATCGAACCCCAGTGGAGGCGGAAACAAATGGGCAGAGTTTCAATCACCCTGATGCCCCCTGTTACCTAGCAGTAATATAGGTACCTGGGAGTTAGACAGCTACTACGGGCTGCTTCCTGGGGGTAACAAAAAAAAGAGGCCTGGTAGAGGACCGGGCCGCGAGGAAGCTAAGTCCCGAAATCATCTCAAATAACCTAGAGAGCGAGGCGGGTAGAACTCACCAGCCACACCCACGAAACATCATCTTATGGAGCTAAAGGTCATTCAGGCAAGGCACCGTCGTAAGAGCTGCTAGGAATCACGGTACGCTAACTGCGCACCCGTGTACCATCATGGGTTATGTGCATCTGGTGAGTCAGATCTACAGGTGTTTCTTACCCACCCACTCAACCCGCATCCATCACCTCTACGATAAGTTTACTAATATGAGAAAACCTAACTTTTGAAATCTGGCCGATTCATAAACACGCAATTTACATATATGATAAATGGCAAATTACATATTTCCCCAACTACCTAAACGCCCCACAACCGGTGTTTCCAAGGCCTCGAGATGACCCGTAGCTCAATTTACGCTCATTCGACTATTTATAATTGCTTAAACCCAATTATGATTATATTACCTCTACTGATGAGGCCACACGCCAAGATCAAGGTAACAATATAGGCTTGGTAATGCCGCTTGCTGGTCCGTCCACCAGCCGTGATCCCAGCAATATACTCATTCATTTATGGACAAGTTTGGCGAACCGCTAACAGATCTGTTTCAACGCGGCATATTCAGGCATCATATCCACTAAAGCAAATGGATTGATGTTAATAAGCCTATATTTTTACAATATTTGTAAATTTTCATAACACCTACTGTAATTCAAATTTAAATAAATTAAATAAAACAAATCCACTATAGTGCCGTGTTGCCTACACACGTACCGAAAATAAATTGTCAAATACAGTTATCGCGTTGTCAAATATTGGAGCCAAACTTTAGACCTGTTATCAGAGGTTTAATCATTCATTTCAACAAACCATCCAAACAATGTTCTTTAGTGGAATGAAAAAGGCTAAATTTCTACCTCGGCGAGTTACCCTCACTACTGTATTTATATGAAGTTAAGATGAAAATATAAACATAATTAGGCTATGATTTGAACAAAATATAAATGCTTATTTAGGCAACATTTTGTAATTATCCATTTGGCTCACACGAACAGTATCAGTTTTTCAGCAATTAATGACATCGTAAATTCAATATACAAGTCGATGAACAACAAATTGCAAATTAGTGACAAAAGTTAAAAGATGTGAACTACAAAGTGCACTTTTTTATAGGGCAAATGCCTTGTGTTTTCATTGAAAAAGCTAAACAACTGGATACCTGAAATCTGAAACTACAGTCTGGAGAAGGTTGGGCTGTTGGCTGGGTCAGACCTGTTTCCAAGTTCTAGCTTGCTATCCGGAAGCGGACATTCCTTATTCACCCGAGTGGGAGTCATCGCACAATCAGCAGGCGGTGCTTGCTTATCTCAGCGTTCTGACGACAATAGTAGTTGGTACCTAGGCGTTCCGGGTCCCTTGCCACAGAGCATCCGCCTCTCACCGCATCATCTGACCACGTAACTAAACAATTACCAGTTTCTTTACCAATTTCTGGGAGTTACAGCCTTATCCATGTCACTTGTCCATCTCCCCCTCTCTAACAAAACCATAAGGATTGCTGATGATAGTGGGTTTACGGGCTATTCATGCCCGTACCACCTCTTGGGGTGGCTTAATCTTGATGATAGTGTTTTGTTAACACCTTCCGGGCACACAATGTGTACCCTGGTTAGGCTACCATCGGTCAAGCCTTCAACAGGACTCACTCTGGCAGGTAAATCTCGCACGCTGCCACACTCATCTGCATGCAACTGTGGCGTGACTCAAGGTGACAGTATCACAAAACAATGATGCAACACAAACATCTGCAGTCGCAAGGTTCACATCTACGTCAACATTAAACAAAATGTGTTTCCATGAGAGGATTCACTACTGCATCTTGCGTAATGTTGTATAGCTTATGGTTGTTTGCCAATTACAGAAACGCAACTTCTGAAAGGCGACGATTTTTAAAACTGATGCCTTGTAAATTTAAAAGATACTGAGTTTGCCTTTATAGTGTGAATAAAAACTTGTCAATATATTTACTAGGTTTGGAATAGACTAGGCCTATAGATATATAGAACAATAGTTATTGAGATCAACCAAAACATTAATACAAAATAACTAGCCTATCAAAGGTCATTGATACAGATCAAGAAGGCGTATTAAAGTTCTTTAATATAGCTGTATTTCGACCGTATACTTGGGGGGGATACTGGTAAACCAAATATACGGGTCAACGCAATCTATGAGCTATATCAGTAAGTCCTAAGGCAAACTATTGTATAGTTTGCCTGGTACTGGTATTGTAGTGGTTCTAGACTTTTGTTTGATGCCTGTCTAATTTCAACTAATTTTATGCAACTGCCATTGAGAAGACAGAAAATAACACATGTCTATAATAAACTGACCTTCCATCAGTTTGCAAAGCATGTGCTATAAATAATGCAATGGTTTAATTTTGAAACAAAAATACAAATTTGTCTTTTACCCTGCCATTTCCAGAAGTAAACATTGGGTAGGTAGTGGAAGTGTTGGTTTAACCATGTGAGGCGGAACACAATTCAAGGGCATACATTTCGCTGGGTGAACAGCTTCAGGACGAACCACTTATTTTGATGAAAGGGAGGAGTATAACAACACAAGTTCACTTACATCGCATCAGGCTTGGATACCCATGTGCATGGGAAATAGGCTTACAGGTTTCAGAAGATGGGAGGAATGTCAGCCCTCTGGTGAAATACCCGACAAACCACTGGAACATTATCTAACACATTGCACAGTTACACAAACCCAATACGATTCAAACTTAAGATTCAACAGAGCAGTTGTTAAACACATGGGGCAAAAATCTTACTGAAGCGACCATACGAGTCATAAATACTCATACTCTGCCCAAGTGAAACAGAAACAAGCAACAATTAGTGGGCCAGCCAGAGGCTTAGGGCCCGCGCTGGAATTTTCCTGAAGGAAACAAAAAAGTTTCAGGACCTAAAGGTCGTCTGTGAATGGAACACTGTAATAGTTTTGTCCACTATCATTTCCTTCAGCACTCGTGCCGGCATCTCCCGTCCTTCATCCATGATGCACAAAAAATAAAGAAAATACTCCAGCCTCACTAAACCGTGCAAGACGCACAGTCACTAACTTAAACTCACATATCTGGGAAAGCGTGCCAAGGTCGCCACGATGAACGAGGGTGTTTGGGGCAGAGTAAAAAGACCGTGAACTAAGGATCAAATTCACCAAGCCAGAAAAAATCATTAACAAATGTGACCTAGATAAGGCTTATACATTACGAACTTTAAACTTAAACAGAGTAGCGTGGTAGTCACACCCACTAAATTCTTGGTTAGTCTAGACTCTAGAGCGCCAGAAATTATACCTTTTGTGGATACAAGTTTTTCTTGTGTGCTGTAAACGTCCGAAATAATATGCAAGCGAGCAGACAGATTAAGACATTTTTCCTCACCAAAAGTAATTAGCACTTGCATCGTCTCAAAAAATGTATTACTATTGCAGCACCTCCAAATCCAAAATTCATTACATGAAAATTACGGAAAATATATACAATGGATTCACGTACTGAAATAGAAGTCTGTAACAGTCAACTGTTGGAGTAGTTAAAGATATTTTAGAGGGTCTCGGTAGTAAACTTGGGTTCGTTCTCGACTAGCAGTCAAGAATTCCTGGTTCGAATCCAGACCGGCCCAGACATGGACTGAGGACGGGTTGGAAATGTCTGGGCGCGTTTCCTATCACCTCATGCAGTAAACCTGGCAGTAAATAGGTACCCCAGGAGTTAGTCAGCTTGTTGTGGGATCACATCCTGGAGGGGGTCTGCAATTCTCCTGGTAAGGAAACCCTCCATATAAGCCTAACATATACTCTATGTATAAACTGGCTGCCTGTCCCCCGACACAATATTCATTATTATCATCATCATCATCATCATCCATCATCATCATCCGACACCCTGATGTTTTCTTTTGACAATTACTTACTTGCCTTTGGAATATCTATCTGACCAATCATCACACAAGATCCAAAACAACGCCTCGTCTCATTCCCTGCACACAATGTGTCAGTCATCATGTCAGCATACCAGACATGGGGGGACAAAGTTCATTGCCAACTAATCCCTGACAACTTTGTGATTGCATATTACAGTACAGTATACAAAAATATTGGTGCTTGACAATGATAATGGAGAAACACACTGGTTCAATGCATTCGTCTTGGGCAGATAAGGGACAGCTTAGGCCCATATCTTAGGCAAATTATATTCGACTGCGAATGACAATTGGTCCCATGTTCCAGTATTGTGAACTTAATATTGAACACAAATAATCGACTGTGCAATACATTCTTGACAAACTTGTGTTCACCTCATAGTGCCAGCATGAGTTAAGAGCCTCGCCGACAGGCATACTGGTGATGCTGCTAGTGGTGGTGGTGATATGCTAGTGGAGGTACTGATGCTGCTAGTGGTGGTGGTGGTGCTGATGCTGCTAGTGGTGGTGATGATATGCTAGTGGTGGTGGTGATATGCTAGTGGTGGTGGTGGTGGTGATATGCTAGTGGTGGTGCTGATGCTGCTAGTGGTGGTGGTGGTGATATGCTAGTGGTGGTGGTGATATGCTAGTGGTGGTGCTGATGCTGCTAGTGGTGGTGCTGATGCTGCTAATGTAGTGGTGGTGGTGGTGCTGCTAATTAATGTGGTGGTGGTGATGCTGCTAATGTGGTGGTGATGCTGCTAATGTGGTGATGCTGCTAATGTGGTGATGCTGCTAATGTGGTGGTGGTGATGCTGCTAATGTGGTGGTGGTGATGCTAATTAATGTGGTGGTGATGCTGCTAATGTGGTGGTGATGCTGCTAATGTGGTGGTGGTGATGTTAATTAATGTGGTGGTGATGCTGTTAATGTGGTGGTGGTGATGCTGTTAATGTGGTGGTGGTGATGCTGTTAATGTGGTGGTGGTGATGCTGCTAATGTGGTGGTGATGGTGGTGATGCTGCTAATGTGGTGGTGGTGATGTTAATTAATGTGGTGGTGATGCTGTTAATGTGGTGGTGGTGGTGATGTTAATTAATGTGGTGGTGGTGATGCTGTTAATGTGGTGGTGGTGATGTTAATTAATGTGGTGGTGGTAATGCTGTTAATGTGATGATGATGCTGCTAATGTGGTTGTGATGGTGTTGGTGGAGATGCTGTTAATGTGGTTATGATGCTGTTAGTATGATGATGCTGTTAGTGTGGTGGTGATGCTGCTAATGTGGTGGTGGTGCTGTTAGTATGATGATGCTGTTAGTGTAATGATGATGATGGTGTGGTGGTGATGCTGCTAGGGTGGTGGTGATGCTAGTGAGGTGGTGATGCTGCTAGTGGTGGTGGTGGTGATGCTGCTAGTGGTGGTGGTGGTGATTCTGATGTTAGTAGTAGTGGTGGTATTGCTGGTGAGGGTGATGACAATGATGATAGTAAGGGAGGTGATGCTGATGCTAGTGAGGGTGATGCTGGTAGTGCTGGTGATAATGACGATGCTGTTGATGATTCAGACAAGACCAGTTGACGTGACCAAGACATTTGACTCCCCCCACACACACACGTGAGTGTGATGAGTGCGTCAGCGATGATAAGCGAGCTCCCTGGCAGATATCCCAGACCGGTACACCGTCCCTCCATGGTAATGTTCCTCTCCCACCTCACCCCGGGAGGGCAGGATCTTACCTGTGGCTGCAGGATATGATGGTGGGAGTCGTCTGCCTGCCTCCGTCACCTCACACCGCCATGCCCGTCACCTCTATCCTCAACTACGGTGAATAATTTCCGTCTGCACTGTCAATCCCGTCCACCCAACACACACTCACTTGTTTCCCAACACGGCACTGTTTACACGCTTCCTCTCCCGACCTTGTTGTCACACGAGAGGAAGAGGGCGCCCCCGGAGGTGGGTTATAGAGTGAGCGGCGGCCAGGAGGGTGTACTAGAGGAGACACTAGTCATATAGAGCGTGGCGGCGAGGGGTCAAGAGGTGTGCTCCTCGCAGCCATCCTCGCCAGACTGGTCGCTTCACCCTCGCCTCTACTGACAACTCTGCCGCAGCTGCCAACACCATCTTCCCTCTCAACTTTCTTTCTTCTCCTCCTCCTCCTTCATCTCCTGTCTTCACGCGTCACTCACAACTCTCTTTACGCAACTTTGATCGTCGTGGCATTCAGAAAATTGTTCAGACGAGGAAAGTCAATGCAAATAAAAATCGTATTGACAGCGCCATGCCGGTATTGTTGTTAGATATCGCAATAACTTATATTATTGCATATTAATACCGTATAACGACACATTTTTTTACACAACATGTGTATCTCTTATTGTATTTATTAAGCTCTTTTAGAGACAGCTTACTAAACACCATTAGCATTTATAGCAATAATATTATAAGTCAACTCCCGAAGCGATCGATAAAGGTGCAGGAGCGCGCGTGTGCGTGTGCACGTTGTCGTCATCAACCGGGCGATTTAAATAACATATTTGTTGAGGAACCTCCAAAATAGCTGATTAAATCTGAGAAACAGGGAAAAATATAAATAAAAACAGGGGATGAAGGGAGTGAATTATCAAGGGAGAGCGCCAAGCAATTACGCCTATATAGCACTAGGAAGGGGTCAGGATAAGGATGTGGGATAGGACGGTCGGGACGCCCCGGTTGAGAAGCGACGTCGACGATCAAGGGATCGAATGCGCCCATAAATTCTTGAAGCAGGACAGAAATTGAACCAGCGCCCTGGATATCCCCAGACACGCGCCTTAACTCATGGACCACATCGTCCATGAGGGAAGGAATGGTGCCCAACCACTTGAACAGTCGGGGATTGAACGCTGATTATCATGAAGCGAGACCGTCACTCTACCGTCCAACACAAGTGGTTACATTATTATTTGCGGCAGAGATAACACAGACGATGTTCACAACTAGACTGTCAGACACTGACATACACGAGTGATATACCACTCATTTTCTCGACAGAAGGGGTTGCAAAACTTTACATAAAGCACAAGTTCGCTCTGATCTTGACCATGAACAACTCTCTTGGATGGCCTTCCTCCCTTCCCCATCATTTATCAGTATTCTAGACACGGTGAACCCAGAACAAGAAAGCTCAGTACCGACTCATCTTGGTTGAAATGGTCAGTACATTTGACTTCAACACCAGAGAGATGTTGGTAGTCTTATTGTCATGTATAAGGCCAATATTTGTAAGGTTCCTCACCTGGTTGATACCTGGTTGATGGGGTTCTGAGAGTTCTTCTACTCCTCAAGCCCGGCCCAAGGCCAGGGCTTTGGGCTGGGCCTGTCCCAACTTCGGTTTGTCCAAATACAATAGTAGCCATTTCTACTTTCCAATTCTTAATTACGTCATATATGTAGTATGGTGTTTATCGTTACTATAAGTACTAACTAAACAGGAAGATGGTCTCACCAAAGACATGAAGGATCTAGCACACAGGCGACTCCAGCTTCGTCCATCAACTAACAAGTTGAGGACTCACTACTAAAGTTTATTCCTATTGGAAACTAACAACAAGTTCATCAAATAAATGAGTATCTAGGGATAGGCTTCAGACTAGCTGATGTAGAGTTACAGCTCTTGCAGTTTCACTAGGAACATCACCGCCATTTCTAACTAACCCTTGAGAGAGGGAGAGGGAGAGAGAGAGAGAGAGGCGTGACCCCGAGCACTGCAGGGAATTTAACGTGTCACGTGTTGTTTGTTCTGCATCCTTAATCCCTGCTCACTCGCTCCACCCCATCTCCCCTCACTCTCCTCCTTCGTCTCACCTCACTCTCCCTTCTTCCTCTTCTCTCCTTCCTCCCTTAATTCCTTCCGTTTACTCTCTTTCCTCTCACTCGATCTTCCCCCCTCCCTCCCTTCACCCCTTCATCTCGCTCTCTCATTCCCCTCACTCCCTCCTTCCTCTCACTCTCTCCCTCATTCCTACCCCCCCCCCAAAGATAAGCCACACTGGCAATAGAGATTACCACTCAGCATACAGTGAGTCACTCACAATCATATATATAATATGTGTTGTTGTTTCAGGTCCCTTGCCTTCTGAAGTCTGTTTCTTGGTCCAGCTAGGCAGGGCGCTTGTCTTAATAGTAGTTCGGGTATGAGACGAGTAGCACTTCTTTGTTTACATTTTCCAGAACTTGTGACGTCGCCGGTGTGGCCTGGAACACCCACATCTTCCCCTGAGGAGAATGCATGTGGCCTTCCTTCCTCTCCTCCCCTGAGGAAGATGCATCTGGCCTTCCCACGCCCGAACCTGTGGCACTCGAAGCACCGGACGGGATCCGCGATGGGCACCGGATGCCTGAAACTTGCCCACTTTCCAGCCTTTACTGGTGGGTGGGATTTCCCGCTTTCATTGGAAGATAACTTCGTTGTAGGGGATCCGATCCTTCTGTTGTCCGTCCTGTGGCTGATATCGCGTGCGGTAACCCTTTTTCACTGGGGTTTGTGTGATCTGAAGTGTACTCCAGAAGAACTCTTTTATTTCCTTTTTCTTGAGTTTGACTAGTAGGTATTTCTTGTCTAGGAATATATATTTCTTTAGCAATACTTTTATTGCTTAGCTCCTTCCGTCCAAGTGTTTGGGAACCATTCTTTTCCACTCTACTGTTTCAAATCCTTATCCTCAAATCCCTTACAAGTGTTATGTAGTTGTAATGGAAGAGGGTTCTCCCCTCTCCCTCGCTCTCTCCCACCATCCATCACTTCAGGTCCTTTGCTGCTTGTCCTCTCACGTTGTAACTTCTTGAAAACCAAACCAAACATATGAGGCCCACGCGGCCTCACACGCGCGGGGTCCAGGGTTCGAAACCCATACAACCAAGGTGAATGGAATGTAACTACTGGAGGTGGACGCTGGGGATCTTCTGCACAAGATATTCCAGGTGCTTGACGCAGGTGTCCCAGTCCAGGTCCTCTGGGAACTTGAACATTACCTTGCGGCAGCTGTTCTTTGTGCTTCATAAGACTTGTGCTTGTTTCTCTGTGTCAGGTGTCAGTGTTATGCCCAACTTTCCTGCCTCGTGCGTGGAACTGTTTGAGTCTGTAGACTCGTCGTTTATCTCACCTTTGCGTTTTTTAAAAGCTCCAGTGTTGGTCTATTGTGGATTAATTACCCAAGGATGTGTGCAGACATAACTGGAGGCGTATGTCTGGTTGGTTTTGGTATTATTATTGTTATTTGCGCCATCACAAGACATATATTATAGTGTGGTCACACACTCGCCCATCTAGGTCAAGCTCTGCCCTAGGGGCCAGGAATATCTTACCCCCGACGGGGGTGAGAGTGAGGTCCCTGATGCCCTCTGTGATACCCTAACCCTCTCCAAGAATTTACCTGGAAGCCACTATCTCTCTCTAGTGTCACAGGGATCAGCTCACTAGTATTGTGTTTGAATCTTGGAACTTGAGTGTAAACATTTGGTTTATCTTAACTGGAGGTGGAGGGAGCTGCGTGTATTCACCTAGTTGTGTTTGCGGGGGTTGAGCTTTACTCTTTCGGCCCGCCTCTCAACTGTCAATCAACTTTTTTTTCCCACAACACACACATACACCAGGAAGCAGCCCGTGACAGCTGACTAACTCCCAGGTACCTATTTACTGCTAGGTAACAGCGGCATTCAGGGTGAAAGAAACTTTGCCCATTTGTTTCTGCCTGGTGTGGGAATCGAACCCGCGCCACAGAATTACGAGTCCTGCGCGCTATCCACCAGGCCTACCAGGCGTGTGTCAGGCCCGGCCGGCTGCTCCAGACTGGAGAGGGGTGTGGAGGTGAGGTCTGGCCAGCTGTACCCTCCTCGTGGTCCCTCTTGCACAATCTTGGCACAATCTTAACACTCCATGGATGACCTTAACAGACCTTAACATTTTGCTCTTTATCTTCATATTACGGATAATAAGCTTATTCATTATTTTGGGCCTCGTAGGGGGGGGGGACATTTGGTACGTGCAAGTAGCACAAATTTTAATGATACAACTTCTTCTTACAAACAATAAACAACATAGTTATACTTGCATGGTTGTGATCCGTCAGTGGAATTATTTCCAAGTAACTTTGTGTAGGTTCAGTAGTGGTCGAGGAACACAGCCGGACCGTCCAGCAGTAATGCTTCAGTCACACTGACTTCCTGGCGTTATCATTCGACACTTGCGTACAGTCAGCTGACAACCATCTCAGCCAATGGGCGGCGAGTGTTCCCAGACGTCAGTTAGCGTGCCGCCAATCAGGAGGCGAGTGTTCTCTCGCGGGCTGTATGACATCACATCATAATACCCCATTTACCCATTGCTGATGTAAATGGGGAAATCTCTTGGATTTACCCAGACCCCATTAGGTCAGTGACTGACCTTCCTCAGGATGCAGCACCACAACAGTTGCATAAGTCCCAGGCACCTATATACTACTGGGTGAACAGAGGCAGCAGGTGTAAGGAAACGTGCCCAACCGTCTATGTGAACAGACTGTTGCTGTAAATGCTAACAAACTCTATATGATTATCCAACCTGTAACTACCTTAACTGTACGAAATTTTAGGGTTCAAACATGTGATTCTGTAACTCCCAGGACGGGTATGGGGTTCACAACCACTCACAAGACGGGTATGGGGTCCACTATCACTCACAAGACGGGTATGGGGTCCACTACCACTTACAGGACGGGTATGGGGTCCACTACCACTCACAGGACGGGTATGGGGTCCACTACCACTCACAGGACGGGTATGGGGTCCACTACCACTTACAGGACAGGTATGGGGTCCACTACCACTCACAGGACGGGTATGGGGTCCACTACCACTTACAGGACGGGTATGGGGTCCACTACCACTTACAGGACGGGTATGGGGTCCACTACCACTCACAGGACGGGTATGGGGTCCACTACCACTCACAGGACGGGTATGGGGTCCACTACCACTTACAGGACAGGTATGGGGTCCACTACCACTCACAGGACGGGTATGGGGTCCACTACCACTTACAGGACGGGTATGGGGTCCACTACCACTTACAGGACGGGTATGGGGTCCACTACCACTCACAGGACGGGTATGGGGTCCACTATCACTCACAGGACGGGTATGGGGTCCACTACCACTCACAGGACGGGTATGGGGTCCACTAAACAGACTTAACAACACGAAAATTACACAATGTTCGCAGTTTCGTTTCATTCTGCTCTATTGATGCCATTCTCAACTCCGCGCAAATTTGATCAAATATTTAGATGATACAGAATACTTTGATTAATATATAAAAGGACCCGCATAGTGTGTCTGCCCCGTGGCTCCTCTTCTCTCAGCGAAGATGCCCTCTGCCCTCAGAAGAGGGCAGAGGGCATCTCTGTCTGCCACTGAAGGTCACAGAGACCCACATAGCCCATGCGCACTTGTCTGAATATATATAGTCTACGAATGTGTGAGTTTATATACTCTATGTCTGAATGTTTATACGCCAGCGCTCTGGATTCCCAACATTTGTTTTGATCGTGGAAACCCTTGAAATATTTCGTAAATTATCAGGGAACCTCTACTTGGCTGACAGCTGCCTGGTTCATCAGGGAACCTCTACTTGGCTGACAGCTGCCTGGTTCATCAGGGAACCTCTACTTGGCTGACAGCTGCCTGGTTCATCAGGGAACCTTACCTGGCTGACACCTGCCTGGTTCATCAGGGAACCCTTACCTGGCTGACACCTGCCTGGTTCATCAGGGAACCCTTGCCTGTCTGCCATAAATTAAGCAATAAACGAAACAGAATTTGAGTTCAACACAATAACTACATTACAAATTTATATAATTTGTATTTTATTTGTATTTATATACAATATACATTGGGTGAAGAGAATACATAACATTGGTGTTTTTACATTCTCGTAAAGCCACTAACACGCATAACGTTTCTGGCTTGTCCTTAGAATAGATTATATTCATAAAGTAGAATGTCTCAAGTACTAAATTGGGTGAGTATGTAGCAGAAGATGGGAAACTATGAGGAGGAAATTAGATACTTTTTGGTTTTACTTTCGAATAAGGCATAGGTTAGGCAATTTTTGAACAAAGTTTTATACATGAAAACAGCACAAGAGAATGTGTGGAGAGTGTGTGTGTATGTTTAGGGTCTTAAACAGAGGGTAGTTGTCTGAAGACAGAGTTTGTTATCGTTCTGAGAACAGATTTTTGCTGGGTGATGATGGGCTTAAGGTAATTTGCAGTGGTTGAGTCCCATGCACAGATACCGCATGTAAGTTGATATGTGGAACCAATTACCGCGTAACGTGGTGGTGGGGTCCCTCGATTGTTTCAAGCGTGGGTTGGACATGTATATGAGTGGTATTGGGTGGTTATAAATAGGAGCTGCCTCGTATGGGCCAATAGGCCTTTTGCAGCTACCTTTGTTCTTATGTTCTTAAGACTGGGATAGATTAGCGAGTAGTATAGTGAACGAAGAGCAGAGCAGGGAACATAATATCTAATTTTTGAGAGTATACCAACAGTTTTAGATACTTTTTTGGCTATGTGTTGTATGAGAGTACTGAAGTTTAGTCTTTTGTCTATGTATAGGCCAAGGTTTCCTCATTTTTACTATTTATGCTGACATTGTATATCTGAAGGGGAATTTGGTTTGGCGATTTGCTTCCGTAACGCATCCTTTGGGCAAGTCCTTGAAACTGTGAATGTCTTTCTGCCTAATAGTGTGACATCTTGTGTTGAAGACGTCTTGATATAATAAGTTCATGCCGATTGGACTATTATATATAGTCCAGTATATGTGACTATTATATATAGTCCAGTATATGTGACTATTACATATAGTCCAGTGTGAATTAATACGTTTCGACAGGGTACTGGTGTGAGACTGCAAGGTTACCAGATATTACCTTAATTGTCTGCAAGGGGATTCTCGATCTACTTTATGTGGGTAGTTTATTGAGTAGTACTCAACCTATATAGTGTCTCACAGTTTGTGGCCTCATAAAATGACTACGAACTCCACCTCCTCCTCCGAAGACCCTTGACCCTTGACCCTCTCAGAATCAACATCTAAAAAGCTTGCAATATTAGCGATTCCTATAAATCAAACTTAAAAACTCTTTACCCTAACTCAACTATCAGTAGAGAAATTAATATTAAGCATAATTTTTAGTTTCATAGTAACTAATATAAAAAGAGTCTGCAGGTTGAATACGTAAGTTATATTTGACAGTTATGGTAAGAGATGAATCGCATTGTTTACCTGATCCAGGAGAGGTGTCTCTCCTCCTGTCCATGATATACGCTCTTCACTGGCCTCTCAGGCGAGATATACACTTATAATGACGGAAGGCTCAGCGCGAGGCTCTGGGTCTATCCAAGAGGTGTCACAGTTGGTCTGGGGACCAAACATTAGACCAGAGCTCTTTGCTCGCTGGTCTCAAGGTGGGTCTCAACTCTCACTCCTGGCAGGGAATTAGCTGCCCCTTAGTACCCTCCCCGCTCGACTCCTGGATAGTTGTGTGTGGATATTATTGCATTTACAAGCAACAGTCACTGAGACGTTTTAAAATATATGTTTAATTAGTCCAACTCTTGCAGTTCGCAAGAAGAGAAAATCATTATGAAAATTGCATGTATCACATTGTATGTATTCGCTGTATTTCACAAGTTTGATAATAATTTGTTTTCCTTTTGTATATTTTATGTATATTTGTTGATAGTTGGTAATAGCACTAAATGTTTAAACTGTCATGTTTACTGTATACATGTACAGAATACAGGGGGCAGGGGTAAATAGGGTTGGGTCTGATAATTGATTGCCGTGTGACTGGATGCCAGTTCCAGTTTTTTATATATGACCATTATGAATGTAACATATGGTTTGTAAATGATTGGTTCATGTATTTAATATACTTACAATAAATTAATAAATAATTTCTTGAAGATTATCTGATAACCTCCAAAGTCACCCATTTCTCCTTTCTTTAATGGAACCTCTGGCTGTGCCTTCTTATTACATACTCCTTCATTGCCCAGTCATGTATATACTGTACCACTTCCCAGTCAAATATACTGTAAAAGTAGGTTTGTACAAACTAATGATGCAGGTTAAATTAGCATTACACATGAATGCTATTCCACAAATTTATATGTTGTGTAAAACTTTTACCAATAAATACCAGTGCATTTTTCTTTTGGTGAAATTTTATACAATTTTAAAGTATGCAATTTGTATTTTATGCAATTTTAAAGATTACTTTGTTGTTTTTTCTTGATAATGAGTAGGCACTCCTTTTTGTTTTAACTTAGCAGTGTATGGGTTAATTTGTAATTTTCTTGGCACTTAAAAAACAAAAATTCTTTCATAAGCTTTTTACTTTCCAGGTTTTATTTTTAGTGAACATGAAAAAACGGCATTAATCCAAACAAGTGGAGGGCCATGTGCCGTCATTGCCCCTGTGCAGGCCTTCCTTATGAAGAACCTTATTTCCAAACATCAATTTTCACAGCTCAGGGAGGTACGTAAATATCTGGAATTTGAAGCTGCGTCCTATTCTGAATCCATGGTGTAGGAGAGTTTATTGAAGCTTATATGGTCTTATACGAGTTATTTACTTATTCCTGGAAAAAACACCATCATACTAGGTATTACAGAAAATAAATCATAAGGTACGCTTTCTTCTCGGTACCATAATACAGTACAGGCTTTATTTGAACAGCCTGTGTTATATGAAGAGTCCATGGGGTAGTATTTAACTGTCTCTATATGTTCACTTATCCAGGAGTTTTTTTTAGAACTTTGCTTGTGGGAATTTCTAGTTGTTTGCCTGTTTCATAAGGGCTACTTACAGGGATTATAAAATTGCTGTTGATGTCTAAATTACCATCAGTGATCTGGTGTCATCTGCCTCTCTTTTTTTCTCTCTCCCCCCCCCCCCCCCCCACCCAGCTACCAGTGGCTGAGTCAGCTGATTGAGGGTCTTGTATTCTGATTCCAAACCACAAATACTGTATAAATATGGGTTTGTTTCCAAGAGGAAATTCTTTGGCCTGAAGTGCAGACAGTAACTTGATATCCCTTATTTATCAGTTATAGAAATAAGATCAATGTGCTTATCTATTTTTCTAGATACCAGTAAAGTAGTTGCTTCACTAACTTCATTCTTCTCAGCTTCATCTGTCTAATCTCCTCATTTCTAAACACAGTGCAACTGTAGTCTGCACTATCTACAGTATTATCTATTATATTAGGTCATTCTTTTCTACCTCCTTACCAGCATCTTGGAACATGCCATCAACACTTATAAATTTCTTGTCATAACTGCCTTCCTACTCATCAACAGGAGTTAGATTTTTTCCTAGCATTCTTGAAGCTAAAGTCACTGTTGGTTAAATTTTTTATGCCAGTTCCCAGTGAGATGTAGCGAGTAATCCTTATACTCGCTCCATTATCTCATTATCTTAATGGCGTAACTAATTAGCACTAACTACACAAGCTATAATCCTATCCCTAATTACAGGTAACAGTTCTCACATCCTCCTATCCTAGTAGAGAAAGGTGAGGGGTAGTCACAAAATATAAGGAAGCGATATGAGAATAGACAAAAGTACAATTTCCAGTCAAGAATGTAGCACTCGGCATAGGCAGTTCTAATCGTCTCCGAGATGCTACAGCTTCGACATAGAACAGACAGCAGACTAGGACCGCATTGAGCTACAACACTCTCCCACATAGTGCTTCGCGACTCCGGCCACACTCGGCTCTCTGCTCTGCTCCAAGCTCCGTCTCAATGTCTACAACACTGCTGTATCCAGGACTACTAAATAAATATGAAACTCACTAAACACGGTGTATCTAATCTACCCAACAACGTAACATAAGCGTACGTTACAGAGGGTTGATTTGGTGCTAAAATATTATAACTATTTTTCATGCCTTTTATTCTATTTCTTTTAAGAGGCCTGTAAATAAAAATGCAGTATTCTGAATAATAATTAATATGAAAAGAGCAAGACTAGCAAAAATAGGAAAAGAAAAATTAGATCTACTGTATTGTGAATATTTGTGACAATCAAGATATCGGAACCCCCTCCCTCCCCCCTCCAGAATGGGATGTTTTTGCGGCAAATCTAAATTATGGATGGGAGATTAGGTGGGTAGTTTTGGTCTGTTATTTAGAGAACACTGGTACTGTATATAGACATTCGGATTGTTAAGAGCTCACTGTATACTGGATTTGTAAACTAAGACATATAGATAAGCTGCATCATTGTGTTGTAGGTTGAGAGTACAACGGTAGACCAGTACTTGGCTGCAGCCTTGACGGAGATGCTGTGCCAGTGTAAGCAACCACCTACTTTAGCCATGCACACGACTGACAAGTCTAGCTCTCCCACTCATGCTAGTGATAGTAATGCCCCACTTCTGAGAGACCATGGTGAGTGCCATAGGCAGCTACTTATTACTAAAGGTGTTAAAACTCTTTGGCACATTTATTAATATGTACTGCATTCAATTAATGAGAAACATATGCTTGCCTGTAAATTAATGAATATCATGTTATCAGTAGTCATTGGCTTGAATAGGTAATGTTTAATTAGTTATTAGTAATTACATGAGTACAGTATGTTTTTTCTATTGTTAATTATTCTTGTCATCAAAAGATAATTCTTTCTTGTTCACAGTATAATGTAAAGATTTTCTTATCTGATGGCTGCTGATTTTCATATTAGATCATGCCGCTGTTTCTTACAGGTCCCTTTGAAGTAGCTTGTTTGGATGATCCCTTGCCTCTAAACAATGACTGTTCTGGCTCAAGTCCGCCAGAGCCAGACCAGCCGTCACCCACACCAAGTGCCAAAGATTACAGTCTTTTCCATTCCAATGTTAGGTATGTTAGTTAATTGGTGCATGTTGTATAGCCTTGTGTAATAATTTAAATGTTTCTAGTTGAATTTATACTTAATAAAAGTACAGCACAAATACTATTAATATTTACATGTTATTTCAGATTAAGGCAGTTTGAAAGTGCCCACTCCTTGCAAAACCATTTAGAAACGCACCTGGACAAGTACAAAGCTCAGTATGGGGTTCTCCTCTTCCTTTACTCGGTCATATTAACAAAGGTACAGTGACGGTACAGAATTCTGTAAAATAATTCATTATACTTTGCTTAAGACAAAGGCGCCAGCCATTGTGATCTCAACTGCTAATCCCAGGGGAGATACTCCGTGACGTTGGGCCAGGTCAACTACGACTTGACACCAACTTTCCAAACCCCCATAGTCTATGAGAAACCATACTGAATAATTCCTACAACAAACCTAGTTTGTTACATCCACGGCTCATTGCCACCTTTACCAGCATACACAACACTTCTCTACCTTTTACACTAGCTCTCACGTACCTCTTTCCAAGTTCTTTCTACTTCTGACGGGGGAGACAACTGTAAAGAAGAAAAACTCACAGTATTTGTGCAACAAAAGTATATTATTATTAACAGGGTGTGAGGACTGTGAATGAAGAAATGGGTGACCTTGGCGAGAGTCTTATAGATGGCAGCCAAGGTCATGGAGGCCAGGGCCTCATCAACCTCCTCATTACCGGCCGTGCTTCATCCTATGTGTGGGATGGCGTCAAGGATGTTGGAGGCCTCAGTAAGTGTCATTTCATGCTGTTTCTAGTTTTAATTAGATGTTGATAAAAAATGCACTGCTATATAATGTGTTTTCAAATACAATACCCTAGAATATTAGCACATTTTTAATGAACTCAAAAACTCTGATTTTCAATTATGTATAAGTAGCATTGTTACTCATCTTGTAAATAACTAGTGTAGTTTTTATTTTTAAGATTTATTTTTGCACATCTGAAATGCAGGCTAGTATGTACATTTATATAAGAGCATTTTGCATTGCTCTCTTGGAGTGACAAATGACATATTGTATAGTAATTTACTATTTCTTGGATGTATCTCCTGGATCTGTACAATATATATTTTAATTCGACACCCCACTTTTAGGTTTGATTGGTATTTTAAAACGGCCAGCTGTCGGGTTTCTCACACGTTTAGAACATCTGCGTTATGTGCAGGTTGGATGGTACCTCAAGAATCCTACTAATCCTGTTTGGGTTATTGCTTCTGAGACGCACCTCTCAGGTTTGTCAGTACTGTACTTGTACCATCTTTAGTACCACTCAGAATTATGCAACTCTGTTACATAAAGAAAGTACTCATGAGCTATAGGTTGGATTTTTGGCTTAGAATATTTTAGTAATAATGATATGATGATGATGTGATTGTTTTCTCAGTACTTGGTGACATAGTTCCTCTGAGAGGTTAATAGTCAGGTAATTTGTTTTATAGATTAATAGTAAATAGTTAAGAGGTTAATAGTTAAGTGATTTGTTTTATAGATTTGTCACATTTCTAGGTGTAATTTTACTAAACAAGCACTTGTTCTTTTTTAATTAGACTATGTGGTAGGCTATCTCAGATTTTGTAAATATTGAATGTTTAATCATAAGCTTATTAAAAGTGACCACTCACATTAATGCTTAATTTAATTTTACAGTTTTTACAATTATTTTTTACTTTTTAACTCTAAAATTTTATGATCCCAAGCACTTGTATTTAATTAATTTTCCTCTACTGTAACCAACAGTTTTGTTTTCATGGTGCAAAAAGTTGGTGACTCCAGACTCGGAAGTTGAGCGAGCCAAGCAAGTGTTCAGCTGGTATGATACTGAAGGCAACAGATTTATTCAGGGAGAAAAACTAAAGGATGTTTTAGAGAAGCTTAATCTTTGCACCGATGATGATTTGTGAGTTTCAGAAGTACAGGTACAGTGTTTTACAAAATATTTTTAGTAGTGGACAGGATTTAGCAGTATTCCATGATAGAGAAATAAAGCTTTGAGTATTAATTAAAAGTTAATTTTTGAGCAAGCTGCTCGGACAGTCACATAGTCCTTCTCTTGCCTGAACATGGCAAAGTACCAGCCAGGTCAAATTGTCATTCATTTATTGATGCTGTGGTTATATTTTCAGTACACATGGGACAATAATGGAAAAAAGGAGATATAGTACTTGAGAATTCTCAATCTGTCTTGGAATGATTTTTAGGTTTATTCATCTCTACTCAAAATACCTCCTCTAAGCAATACTTGGCTTTAAATAGAGCCACAAGTATTGCTTTTCAGGGTGCTAGTTGGTTGCCCGGCTGCTACTCTAGTCCACCACCAGGTGTCAGCTCTCACAGTGTGTGGATGCCCAATGCCAAGGGAGACTGAGGAGACACTCGGGTAATTGCCTGCAAGACCTAGGCTTCTTGAGAAATATGAGATTTTCCTAGGTATGATAGCAACGGTCCTACCATAACATGTCTGATGAATCTGATGTGAATGTCAATGCAGAGAGATTTTAAGAGCAGGCTGATCTGAGCAGGACACACAAATCGCAGCCAAGGGGGCAGGCTTCAGCTGAAATAAACAAACCTTCCAAAACCATTTGTGCCTCATCCTCCGAAAAAATCAGTGGCAGAAATAAAAGTCAGAAATAACATCACATGAGACCAGTAGGCATGGCAAGATGTGCAAAATACCACTGTTGAAAAGCAGAGGTGCAAGAGGTGCTCAGAGGGAGAACTCTATCAACATTAGGGGCCCAAGACCTTTCAACACTCTCCTGCTACACATAAGGAGCATAACTGCCTGGCCTCTCACAGTGTTCAAGTGAGAACTCGACAAACACCTCCAAAGAATACCTGATCAACCAGGCTGTGTTTCATACGTCAGGCTGCAAGCAGCCACATCCAACAGCCTGGTTGACCAGACGACCAACCAAGAGGCCTGGTCGGTGACCGGGGTGTAAGGTTGTTGATCCCCGGAAGCTACATAAGTTAGACACAAGGTAGACAGAAAAGGATAAATGCAGTAAAGGAGTGCATCAGTGGTGTTGGATACTGTGGTGGACAGAGTTTGTGGTGTGTTTGGATACTGTTATGTAGCTCCAATCCTTCAGTGGAGGAGTGCATTAAGGATGCTAGTTTGTACATGCACTAATATGTGTACTGTATTAATCATTGATTTTTAAAGTCAAATAATGTGAGAGAATGACTATGTGGACTATCTCTTATAATTAAGCTGCTTTGAACAAAGCCTCAAGAGATTAGAAATACTATAAATAACAAATGATTACACGAGTGTGTGTATTTTATTGGTTTTTGTTTTGGCTTGCAGTATCCAATTTATGATGTTGGAGTTGGACCCAGACAATATGGGAGTAATCCTCTATCACAAGTTTGTGGAGACCTTCTTCACGCCTGATCAGTCCTATACCCCGCCAGACACCTTTGCTGTTTATCATTATAATGGACTAGAATCTTCATGTCCATTGAATAAGGTGAGGCTAAAGTAGCTAGCTGCTCTTTAATGCCACTTTAAATTGTAACAATGAATTAGTAAAACTATATTTGGAAAGGGACATGTATGAAAGTACTGTATGTTGAGCAGAAGTTAATATTTTCAATTTGTAAATATTAAACTAGATATAGTTTGAAAAGGTGCAGAATGCAAACAAACCTGAGAGACATATATAGAAAGCATTTGTAAAGAAAGTAGGTAATATCGGTTATGGGTAACCCTGACCTTCATTATGGATTGTATTTATCACCAGTGACTTAGAGTAAACGTGCATTTAATTTCTCGAAAAGGGCATCTACGGGCATAGTGGGTGTTGCAAAATATTTTGTAGATGCCGTGATGTAAATTTAATGCAAAAGTTTATAACGGACGTGAAATTCTCATGGCAATTTGTGTTAATCAAATCGCTCTTTACACAGGAAATTTTGTGGTACTTACCCACCTTGCATCATACTTCATTGATCACTTTCTGAACTCATTAATAGCTAGGAATTACTGTAATGTGTGGGCAGAAATCTAAATTTAAGAGATGGCTTACCAACTTTTTGCTTTTTAACAAATATTTTATTTACCATTGTTGCTAGTCCCTGTTGCTTGAATGTACAGTACAGTACTAACATGTCAGTTGGAAAATTCTATATAGTATTAGGTTAACTCTCGGACCTGTGAAAAAAATAAGTTGTAAAATGTGTAGATTCTTAATGAGAAAATACAGAGGGGAAAAATTAAAACCTATTCTTTTTCAGATTCAGTATGCAGAGGGCTGCGTAACGTTACAGGAGAGCCACGTTGGCTTCTCCGCAAGTAATTCCGAGTTCCTAACCTGCCTTGCAACAAAATGGCCAAACCTTGATATACAGTGGTCAAACTTTACACCATCACTCAACTAGCACCACCTAAACATCGTTTTCAGTATTTTTCTGCCATGTTCCGAATCACAAATTCATAACTAATGCTGGTAATACCAGAGAGCAAATCGACTTACTGTACTTATTTAAGCGTTTCAGGAATATTCCTGAACAAGTTTAAGCCAAAATTTTTGTTCATAAAAATTAATTAATTTTATAATATTTTATTAAAGAGTATTAATAAAGAATCCTAAATTTATGGTTAGGATAAGTACAGTAATGGAATTTAAAAAAAAAATTGAGGTTTAATTAGTTTTGTACATACTATACGCTATACATTATTCACCCATTCCTAAGTTTTCTACCAGGAGTTTGATCTCAAGTTGTGCTACTTGGAAGAGTTGTTACCTGTGAGCAAAGTTAACGTGTTAATAAAGTTTTTTTTACGTAGCTTTATTTAATGCAATTGCTCCAAGTAAACAATTAAAAACTAAATCATTGTACAGTAGCCACTTCCTAAATCTTAGTGCAAGATTTACATACTACTTGTAAGTATAAGCCAACTTGTAGGTAACTTCATATATAATATAAACACACACATAAATGTATGTATATATGTACACACAAATACATATACACCATATGAGCACATTCCCAGTCTGCATGAATATGTACACATGTACTGTAAAACACACACACACACAATTTCAATTCACACAATTGAATTAAAAGATTGAAGCTAAGGAAACAATGGGTGGCGAAAAAATTAGAAGTTCACTTTTGCAAACAGATTGGTAGATGGTTTGAACAAGTTCGGTGAGAAGGTGGCGAAGGCCAAAACTGTCAGTAGTTTCAAAGCGTCACATGACAAAGAATACTTGGACGGCTGGACACCACAAGTGCAGCTCTTATCCTGTATCTGTACTTAGATAATGTCACACACACGCGTGCGCACGCACACAAAATATAAGCAAATTCACTTTCACAAATAGAGTGGTACACGGTTGGAACAAGTTAGGTGAGAAGGTGGTGGAGGGCAAAACCATCAGTTGTTTCAAAGAGTTCTATAACAAAAGAATGCTGGGAAGACGGGATACCACGAGTGTAGCTCTCATCCTGTAACTACATAGGTTATTACACCTTGGTAATTACAGTACACAAACACACACACACACACACAAAAAAACCTCATCATATACAATGTGTTCCTTGCAGAAAGAAATCACGTTAACGTGATGTATAAATGAGAGAATCAATGAGAGAGTCGTGAGGAGGATTCAGACTTATGCTCCGAGTACCCCCAAGCAAATGCCTTGGACAACTACACCACAACATGGTAAAAGAATTGCAACCTGGAATTTAGTTGAATCCCAGGTTGTAATTCGTTTACCATGTCATGGTGTTGCCTAAAGCACTTGCTTGGGAGTACCCAGAGCATAGGTTTGACTCTCCTCATGGCTCCTACTGATTTTCTCATTAATATATAATGTTATTGTGATTTTGTTTGTGTACTGAAGAGAACCATTGTCGATAGAATTCCTAGACTACAAAACCTGAGTATGAGGGAATTGTATGAAACCCTGGTTTGGATTCAGTGGAAGCCAAACAAGATTTAGTTGAATCCCAGGTTGCAATTCTTGTCTGTGTCATGATGTTGTCTGAGGCATTTGTTTGGGAGTACTCGGAGAATAGGTTCAAAGCCTCCTCATGGCTAATACAGTACTGATTTTCTCATGTGTTCCTTAGTGTGGATGTGGCAAATAATGTGATATGATATTCATGTGCCTACAAAACTAAATAAACATAGCCACTGTCTTGATATTGTACTTGACGACATTTTAAAAAAGTTTATTCATTTAGTAATATACTGTATTTGTTGATGCACTTTTTATTTAACTTTCTCTGCAGTGATGTACCCTGTACAGTGGCTCCTCCGTTTACGAATTTAATCCACTCCCATAGACGGTTTGTAACCCGAAAATTTGCAACTCGAAACAAATTTTCCCGTAAGAAATAGTGTAATGTAAATTGAATTAATCCGTTTCACACTCCCAAAAATATTAACTTCAAAATATATTTCATACCTAATAAACACAAATATTTAGTACTATAGTATGTACAAGTTATATCTTACCTCTATTGATAACTCTTGTTGGTGTATGGAAGATGGGGAGGAGGAGAGGTATTAAGTGTTTGGAAGGGGAGTCCCCTTCCATTATAACATTAGGCAGTGATGACTTCTCTGGAGTACTCTCTCTCTCTCTCCTACGTTTTGCCTGCATACCACTAGGATCTGGTTGTGGCTCACCGCTTGTTTTTCTCACTAAAAACATTTCCATAGAGACTTGTTTTCCCTACATTGTAACACTTGTCTGTAGTGACGCATCACAGTGTCTAAAAAGGTAAAGGCAACGCCTACTTCAGCTTGCTGTGGGCGAGTCGTTTCAGCAAAAGTTTGCATTTCTTCCCATAGTCTACACCACTTAATCTGTGAAGGCCACTTTTTCTAAATTTCTCAAACCATCCCCTGCTCGCCTTAAACTCTTTCGTATCTACATCACTCATTCCAGGGGTAACCATGCCACCAGGAACCACACACCAGGTCGCCCATACGCGTATCAACAAACTATGTAACTCGAGGCAAAGCTTGTAACCCGATACAAATTTTACGAAGGAATTGGACTCGTAACCCGAAAAATTCGTAAAGTGGGGCATTCGTAAGCCGAGGTGTCACTGCATATATTTGTTTTAAACTTTGCACAGTAGAGCTGTTCAATAGCCCCTCTTCTGGTAATTGATTTTTATACTTTGAATTTATTATCTCAGGGTTTCAAGAAAAAGTTTAACTTGTTGTAAACTTGTTACACACAGAAATCACAATAGCGTGATGCATCAAATGAAACCAAACCTCCTGAACGTGGATGAAATCCACGGCCTTTGTGGATTTGTTCATTTAAACTTGTTATTCTGCACGTGCCCTATTAAATATAGAATGTTTACAGATGATCAAACTTGCAGCTGTGATGTCATTGTTATTTTGTATTCAGATACACAGTACTATATGTGCAAGTTTTTATATACAGTGGAACCTCAGTTTTCGAATGCCCCTGTTTTCAAATTTTTCAGTTCTTGAGCTCAATTTCTTCAAAAATTCGCCTCTGTACTCGTAGTTTGCCTCGGTGCTCAAGTTTGTTGTTATACGTATGGGCCGACCGAGCTCATTGCGCGCTTCAGTTTACCAGTGTCTCCTGCTTAGTGATGATTGTGCTTGATTTCTCTGTGAAGAATTAAATTGTTTTAGTGCATTTTTGGTTTCTGAACATAAGAGTTCTTATTATATATCACGCCGTGGGTTCCAAGAAAGTCAGTGGTAAAGTTCAACCTAAGAAAATAGTTGTGAGGATGCCAATAGAGGAAAAACAAGACATCATTCATAGTGAGGCAATTTGATGTCTCACTATAGACAAGTGTTAAAACGTAGGGAAAAACAAGTGTCTATAGACAGATTCTTATTAAGACAAGCAATCAGTGAGTCACAACCAGGTCCTAGTGGTATACCTGCAAAATGTAAGAGAGAATACCCCAGAAATGTCATCAAATGTGGGCCTTAGCAGCTGAGTGGACAGTGCTTCGGATTCGTAGTCCTGAGGTTCCGGGTTTGATCCCCAGGGGAGGCGGAAACAAATGGGCAGTTTCTTTTACCCTGATGCTCCTATTCATCGAGCAGTAAATAGGTACCTGGGAGTTAGACAGCTGCTATGAGCTGCTTCCTGGGAATGTGTAACAAAAAAGGAGGCCTGGTCGAGGACCAGGCCGCGGGGACGCTAAGCCCCAAAATCATCTCAAGATAACTGCCTAATGTTATAATGAAGGAAGACTTCCCTTCCAAACACTAACACCTCCTCTCCTCCCTCCCTCCTCACCATCTTCCATACGTCAACAAGAGTCCTCCATAAAGGTAAGGTACCTATGAAACAATTATAAGAAGCAACAGCTTCTCTGTTTCCACCTACCCTGGCTACCCAGGCTTTGCGCTCTGGAGAGGCCACTCCAGACCAACAACCAGGGCGCGTCTCCATAGTCTCCTGAGACTGATGAATGGCTACTACTACTACTACTACTACATCAGCAGATAGAGAAAATTCCCAGAGATACTTGTAACGAGTCTAAGCCGAGCAGTAGTAACATCTAGAAATCTGCTGATTTTATTGGATGATCCATAGATGTGTGGCTTCTCTTGCATGATACTAATATGATAAATGAAATTACAGGTGTCAATTTCACTTTGCCTCAGATCTACAAGATTTTGTTGAAGTTCCTGGTGTACTATATATTGCTTTCAGACTGCTTATTGACAATCCAAGGTTATACTCAATTTCTCCTTTAAAGGCAGAGTCTTCGGCTAACTCATCAGCTCTGTCATGCATTCGGAGGCCAAAATGAGATGGAATATACATGAAATGGACTGTTACCATCATTATTTATTTTATATTTGTGCCTAGCTTCAGACGCGAGCATGCTACAGTTATGTCTTAGAGTTGAGTGCAATTAAGGATGACAAAGAGTCACTTATAATTAATGTAATTGAAATTGAAATTGAAATAAGCTTATTGAGGTAAAATTCACACAACGGGATGAGGTAGCTCAAGCTATTCTCACCCCGTTCAGTACATCGTGTTAATACATACATATAAACACATCACAAACAATAAACATATTACCAAACATTCTGAGAGATAAACATCTACATTTCCTAATTAATGTAAGTTAATGTAATGCATTGTCGTCACTAAAGAGTCTTAAATACGCAGGAAGCGTGACGTTCTCTTCAGTAGATTCCAACTGTCTCGTCTGTCAACAACAACTCTCGCCATTCACAAATAAGTGAATTCAGTGCAAATTCTGTGTTAGCTTTAAGAGTGTTCACAGCGCTATGCGTGTTGGTGTCTTTGTAAGAATGTATAACTTAATCACGAACATGTGTACCTTTGTGCAAATATATAAATAGATTCCATATGTAAGATTGTCCATAGTCGGGTGTGCGAGAACAAATGTGAGATGATATTAGTTATTAACATGGCTATAGGTAGTTGAGATGCACGTGTGTGTGTGGAGGGGGGATCATGATTGTATGAATAGGGCAGGTGTGTGCAGGGAGGTGTCACGCTTGTATGTGTGAGCCAGTTGTGTACAGGGTGGTGTTGCCACGTGTGTACGGAAGGGGATAGATGTGTCAGAGGATACAGAAAGGTATTATCACGTGTGTATATGGATTACAACCCTGCTCCAGTGCCAGATAAGTCCACTACGGGCTCACCATAGCCCGTGCTACTTGGAACTTTCTGTTCCCAGTAACTGAATCTAAAATAACATATGTACATGGAGGTGTCACGTGCGTATGGGGAGAGAACAGGTGTGTTGTGACCTGTGTGTCGTAGAACAGGTGTGTGGTGGCTGTGAAGACATCTGGGTGACGCTCATCAGTCAAGACTTCCAGTCAGCCGTTGGCCGCGCTGGGGTGCAGACGCTCGCCGCCAGCTCCTCCCCCAACTAGTCACTGGCTTCTATTTTGTATTACTTTTCCTAGTTAATGACCCCCTAGAACGTTATACCAGTGCGTGTGCTACTCTCAAGCACAACGACAAAACAGGGAATTATATATATGAGAACTGTGTACTGGTTTAACCGTCGCAGATAATAAGACGCCGACGCAGGTAAGTTTCTCAATTATTTCTTGAATGTCAGTGTATAGGTACCCGTGACCCCTGGCCAGGTACCCGTGATACCTGGCCAGGTACCCGTGACCCCTGGCCAGGTAGGTACAGAGTGCGTCAAGTGATGTACACGCACGTACAGAGGGTCAAGGAGCACGGGGAGAATATTGACTGGGCTGACGTTGACAGTCTCTGGCTGATAGCGTTGTGGGTATATATATATCCACCTTGTTTACTAGTATTTTGTGTACAAGATTATTTACAGACGGTCACAGTGGTTACACAGTAGGTACAGACCTGCATGTTTATAACGCTAGTAACATTATGTACGGTAAGTGGGAGCTTCAGTAAAAGAGAACAAGCCAAATCCTAGGAATAATTAAGTGAAATTTTGACTTCACTGGAACGAAGGCAGTCATACAGCTGTAGAAGTCTCTGGTGCACCCTACTTGGATTATTTTATCCAAGCATGGAGACCTTATCCCCAGAAAGACACATCTGCTGTGGAGAAAGCTCAACACGGGCTAACTAAAATCATTCCTGTACCAAGTCAACTCTCATACCAGGAGCGGTTGAGGGCCACACGGCTAACAACACTGCAAACCAGACATGACAAGGCTGATCTCATCAAAATTAAAAAAAAATACTGAACAATTTGGAGGATATTGATCCAGACAACTTCCTCAAAAGGTCAAATGTAACACAAACACGGAGCAACAGTTCAAAGTTCATGCCGCAGTGTAGGACAGCAAACAGGAGATGCTTTTTCGCCCATAGGGATATAAAATCGTGAAACTGTCTACCCCCTGAAGCCGTAAATGTCAAAATGCTGCAAAATTTCAAAATCCAGCTGGAGAGAATCAGGACAAATGGTAGGAACCTTCGACAAGCTGTCGGTTTTCTGTCTTCGTCAGGCAGAAAGCCTACCTTTACCTTTCAGGTAAAGCATTGTTTCCAGCTTCGTCTCTTTATGGGGATGGGTCTTCTCTTTATATAGGGATAAACTTCCTTTCTTCATTATTGGGATAGGCTTTCTCTTCTTTATGGGGATGTGATTCCTAATACACAAACTAAAAGATAGCAAAAACTCTCACTGGTTGCCACTTATGGGCTATTCATGCCCGTGCCACCTTTTTGGTGGCTTAATCTTCATCAATCATCACTGGTTGTTACAAAGCGTCTTAGGGTCACTGATGATAGTTTGAACTGAACAATATGTTATTGTGAAGTCTGTTTTCTCGGTCCAGTGGAAGGCTAGGGAGAATTTGGAACAACAGATATATTAAAATTATGCAAACTGCACCTACTATCAAGAAGAAGATATTAAACATAATAATTAGTAATTAATTACAACCACTGGGTCTGGACGGTAGTGCGACAGTCTTGCTTCATGCAGGTCGGCGTTCAATCCCGGACAAAAAGGACACAGAATGGGTATTGGAGTCCTTTACAAGTAACAGAATGGGTATGATAGTCCGTTACCAGTCACAGGATGGGTATGGAAGTCCCCTACCACTTCCAGGATGAGCATGGTATGGATCGTAAATTAATTTAACTAAACTAACAAAAATCTTTATAGTACAAGCAGTTTGTGTTAAGGTTTTCTTTGAGAACGGCACGAGTAGTACTGTAGAGAGACGCGTCACTGCCTTCCTTCCCTGGTACCTCACTGATTTCCTTCCGTGGTATCTCACCGACTTCCTTTCCTGGTACCTCACTGATTCTCTTCCCCGATATCTCACTGCGTTTCTTCCCCGGCACCCCACTGTATGTAATGATTGTTTCCTGAGCACCTCGCTGCCTGCCTCCCCTCTGTACCTCACTGCCTTAGCCGGTACCTCACCGCCTGCCGTCCCCATTACCTCATTGAATATGTGGTTGCTAAAATTGATGGAAATGACCTAGGCTAGTTATGCTTGCGTGTAGAGACGCAGTTCTTGACTAAGGTGAGGTCCTGCACGTCAAGAGGAGTCTTGGATGGTTATGGTTACTTGTAACTCAGGTCTTGCCCCAGCCTCCCAGATCAGTAACTTGTAACTCAGATCTTGCTCCAGCCTTGCTGATCAGTAACGCGTGGATTAGGTTGTGCCCAATCCTCCCAGATCAGTAACTTGTGAATTTGGTCCGTCGGCAGCTTCCTAGACCTAATTCTTGTGAATTAGGTCCTGCTCCTGCCTTCCAGACCAGTAATTCGTGATTTAAGTCCTGCTCAAGCTTGCCTTTTGGACTTGAGTACAATTAGATATCTTGTTGTTAATAATGCTAGGCTGGGTAGCTAGGATTAGGGCTTATAATAATAATTTTATTTAAAAATATACAGAAGAACTTGATACAGTGGATAAGTAGTTATTACAGAATTTATTTATAAATTTAATAAAGGCACAAAAACGCAAAGTGTGTTAACTATTATATTTATATATATATATATATATATATATATATATATATATATATATATATATATATATATATATATATATATATATATATATATATATATATATATATGTATATATATATATTGTGACGGTAAAGCGTTGGTGTTCGGCTGTTTCAAAAGCTAGGTGCAGGGCCTCGTCACATAATCGAAAAAAAGGAGAAAAGTTGGTCCTTTCGTCTGTGGTTAGATAATGGGAAGACACACAAAACACATATAAACAATGAAATTTTAATTACTCTAGAAAAACAAGACATGAATAAAGTTAATCACATAAAAATATGCAAGATAAGGCAACAAAATAATATGAATAATCACTTGCAAATGAAAAGTTACGTTAAGACAAGTAAGTTACAGTGATAGCAAAATAAAATATAAGTGCTGGAATACTGGCTTCGAGCTGCCACCTCCCTTAGTACACGAAAGCCAAGGCTTAGTCTACCAGCGAGAGATGTCAACTGCTTGGAGCACTGAGATATTCTGACGATACTGCGCACTGCAGCCCAGACGTCGACTTGTGGTGGCGGCGGAGGGCAGGGGCGACGAGTCACCAGCCAATCAGCGACAGGCAGGCAGAGGATGAGCAGTTAGCTGGTTACGGCGGTGGTAGCAGGTGTCACTGTGTGCTGGGTACGATTTGCTCTCTGGGCAAAACGTTTGGCGATACTTGGTGGACGTATCTTCTATATTATCTTGTATATTGACATACTTATGTAGGGAAGAGCAGGCTCAATCTCTCTTGAAAGAGATTATCGTCACAATATATATATATATATATATATATATATATATATATATATATATATATATATATATATATATATATATATATATATATATACATATACACACACACACACACTGTATAAGGAACCCCTGCTGCGTCCTCGGTTCGTGTCCGGAAGCGGAGAAGCTCCAACAGATCCATAACCTTTATGTACTCATTGTATCAACCACTTTATATCTTGTAACCTTTAAATATCTAATAAAGCACAAGAAAACACAAAAGGAAGGGTGTGGTAGGAGAAAAGCACACTGAAACTGTATTGGAGGGGATCTAAACATTCCCTCTAATGTGATATGTGTGCTGTCCTCCGAGGCTAATGGTTCCCCTTCTTCCAGTCAGAGGTGGTACACCCCTCCATTATTTCATTATTTTCATTATATATAAAGTATACGCGGGTGCCTCACAAAGGCTCCCCCGGATGCTACATATCGTCGTCGTCGAGGCCGAGGGTCCCTGGGGGTACCACCTGGTACCCTCCCATGTATATTTATACACAGTATATATATACTGTACTGTATACATATGGCTTATTAACTGATCCGTTGAAAATATTATGGTGCTTGCCTGGTTACCTACAACTACTTCGACAACCGATCCATTTATAATTATCTTGTCTGTTTGGAGAGTGGCATGGAGCTTTCATTGATCCCAACCAGTAAAGTAATTTAGTACGACAGGTTTTCAATGGTGTAAGGAATGTGTAATTATATCGGGTAGTGCACATGCATTCGTTTGTATGAAGAATGGCGTTGTTTGTGTGCTCAAGTGTAATTATTATATTACAATATACATCTACTCACCAACACGAAATATGTTTAACAAAGGTAAATGAATTGTCAAGGAAACAGAAAATTTATATTTCGAGCACGTGTAACTCGGGTTTGGGTTCCTCTCTCTACTTCTCTTCTTTCTTTACCCTCTCTACCCGTATTCTTACTTTTTATTCTCTACCAAGGGACTCCAAAACTTTTACCAAAGCCAACTCCACGCCACGTGGTCCTAAGACGATTGACCGACTTAGGATTCTACACCCAGTATGACGTGACCTAGGCTCTGAGCAAAACCCTAGAGTATACATTGCTGGGCTCTCACCATTCATGCTCGTGGAATGACTGTAAACTCCAACAACGTTGAGAATGGTTGGATAGCAGACAGACTAACTTTCATCTTGTAAGGAGGGATTCTGTGGTTCTCGTAGGTCATGGATCACCATTCCCTCTTGTTTGGCTTGTGTTGGAATATCAAAACAAGATTTTAAATCTAAACCAGTTGTCTGAATACAGTAATAATGTATTTTATTAGTAAGGTGCCACTAAGGTGCCACAAAGGAAGCCGGTCGGCCGAGCGGACAGCACGCTGGACTTGTGATCCTGTGGTCCCGGGTTCGATCCCAGGCGCTGGCGAGAAACAATGGGCAGAGTTTCTTTCACCCTATGCCCCTGTTACCTAGCAGTAAAATAGGTACCTGGGTGTTAGTCGGCTGTCACGGGCTGCTTCCTGGGGGTGGAGGCCTGGTCGAGGATCGGGCCGCGGGGACGCTAAAGCCCCGAAATCATCTCAAGATAACCTCAAGATAACGTTATTACAGTGCCAGGCAAATAATATGATCAGTCTGCAGTGGACGATATTTGCAAAACTGGTGTTGGAAGATTTTGAGCTGCCATCTGCAAAATATAAATTAGAACACATAATTTATCATTGGCACTAAATAATCTTTAGTGCTCATTGCCTGATCTGAGGACTAATTTCCAATATTAAACAAATTGGCATCACTGG